CATCACTTGTGAACCTCTCAGAAATACCGGGCCAGGGGATGGTTCTGGGGTGTTCTCCTAATAGGTGAACTGAGAAGGGTTGGAAGCTTCCACTGAACAATGCCTCCTTCGTCGTGTCTTCACATTTCAGTTGAGTTTTTAATAGCTTTTTGGAACTTCTATGAGGATCCCAGAGGCCAAAAAAAAAAAAAAAAACCAAAAAACAAAACCCAAACCTGGAGAATTCTTAAGGTGTGTACTCTGCCAAAAGAAGTCTGGCAATTCAGTTAACAAGATCACTTCCCCTGTTACATGAATTATTGTTGTTTTTAATTAGAAGTAATGCTGTAGTTTGGATGTACAGCACAATGGGGTATAAATGCAGTTCAGCACAGATACGAAAGATGATTTTTCTAATTATAAACCTATTTAGAAGGTGGGTACACTAGAAATGATGAAATGCCAAGCTGCAGATGAGGTGAGCAGGCTGGAATACGCATGCACCCACGCACCCACCCTGTCAGAGGAGAGAGAGTGCTCTGGAAAACAGTTATAGATGCATAATTAGTTTAATCTGAAATTAATGCTAATTTCAGCAATTTGTGATGCAGATTCACTATTAGTACTCTAGTCCACTTCCACCACATTGGGAAATTGAGGATGCAAAGTCTTGATGAATTCCTCACCGGAGTGTGCTTGAGCTGAGTTCAGGCACAGGTTTCCAGGGTGCTCTTTGAGCCCTGTGTGCTGGTTTGCTTTAACCCTGTGTCACTGCCTCCTGCTTTGGGATTTCACATGGATTTTGGGATTTTACGTGGTGTTTACTTTGCGACAAGACACACTTTGTGCTAGCTGGGTGTCAGCACTCATCCTTTCCAGCCTCCTGAGCAGGAGCTCTGAATTAAAACTGGGCAGGGGGGACACAGCAAAAAAATGGCTGCATAAGGAATGGTTGGGAAATGACACTTAAAACCATTACCCTGAAGTCAAATATGTAACTTCTTTGTTAAAAATAGACAGGACCTTGACTCATCTAGATGGAGTAGTGGGTGCTTGTTGCTTCAGATTTTGAAATTCTGGGAATTGTGCAAAATATTTAATGAACCTAAAATCCCCTTTGTGCATTGTTGATAGTAGTGGTGGTAAGACAGTTTCAGTGGGGAAAGAAAAACCACAGGAAGACAAAGAGCAGCATTGGTGTGTGAGGGATGTTCATGGACTTGGAGCTGGAGGCTCTGAAAAACCCCATTCCTTTGTTTCACCAGAGTTTGTGAGGTTTAACTCGTGGGTATTGATGTGTTCGAGTGGGGATAGGACTTTTGTTCCCAGAGACTGCATCTTCAGCCTGTTGTTTAGAGGAGATTTACCTGATACACCCCAAACTGATCTAATTACAACCTTAACCTTGTGAAAATGGCATAAACTCGGCAGACCTGCCTGGCTAAAGCATGGAAGGTTTTTTCCTGCTCCTGCACCACCTGAAGTGTTTGCTCAGTTTCAGAACACAAAGGCGATTATATTTTTCAAAGCCAAGCCAATAAATGGAGTGTAACCTTGAATGCCTCCTCGCAGGAGTAGTCACATGTGTTTTGATTAACTCCACACTAACGCCGTACACAAACAGCAATTCTGCTGCGCTCCCAATTAACGGGCCTCGGGTCTGCCTGTCCTGGCCATTCCTTCTGCAGCCAGAGAGAGACACCTTCAGTGCACAAACCTCCAAACCCATCCCGAGCCCACGGTCTGCAGAGCCCTGCAGGAGCCAGCGATGGATACAGGGCACTGCAGAGGAAAACCCAGGGCATGAAGCTGGAAGTGTTGTGGTTTTGGAGTGACCCAGACCTCTTGGAGTCATTCATAAATCATGGATTTGTGATTGATTCTCACAAATCACTCCTGTTACCCAAACCCTGCTGTTCCATCCCTGGAAGGGGCAGATGGAGCTGCTGGCAGAGGGTCTGAACCCACCAATGCTACAGTGACTCCCTCACTGTTTGGGGGGTGTGTTGTGTATATGTCCCTATTGTGAGTAATCTCCAGAAAGCAGATTCTGAATTTACTCACAGGAAAAGATAAAGATCCTCAGTGACTTTCACTGGAGGAACTTCAGACTGGGGATTTCGTTTGGGGCTTTTTGTTACAATAATAAGAAAATAATGATAATGAGTGTTTTTCTTCAATATATACATAAATGCTTTTATAGAATTGTAGGGTTTTTTTGCTAAATATATGCTGATTTATTTTCTGAGCCAAATGAGTGTTTTGATTTAAAAAAGCCTTTAATTTTAGAGAGCAGCTAAAGTTACCAGTGCCTGTGATCATTGGTGCCTCTGACTCTTTGTCATCTGTAATGTTTACACCAAGGGTACTTCATTAAATGTACTTTAACCCTTTGTTTGTCCTCCCGAAAACAAACACAGATCTGTGGTGGAGAGAATTATCATGTTGGGTAGTGAGACCAGCACTGGGTGAACCAGAAGGCTTTATTGGAGCCCTGTTTCCTGCAGAGGGTACTCGGTGAGGAACAAGCTGCCCTCACAGCCATTGGCAATGGGAGATTTGGGGCCTTTCTGGTTAACGTGGGTTTTCTCAGCACATCGTGTTTGGCCAGAGTGTTTGGCAGCCTTTGGCTGTGAGCCTCAGGCTGGCAGGGTGTGCTCCCAGTGCCCAGACTGTGTGTGCAGTGCCCTGCCCCGGGGAGCCTTGGGCCCAGCAGGACCCGGCTCGGTGCTTTCCCTGAGGAAGCCTCTCCTCGTGTGGTGTCTGCTGGGCTGCTTTGTCTCCAGCCGGTCCGAGTCCCGCAGTTATCCAAAGGCTGGAGACTGGGGAGGCTGTACCAGCACAGACACGTGTGGAGAGCAGCTCCCCTGGCACGAGTGTCAGCAGCACGGCAGCTCCTCCCTGCTGGGGTCCCACAAGGACCCGAGCTGGGCACGGGCAGCTGCCATGGCTCTGTGGTGAGGGCTGGTCACCCCCTCCCCTCTGCTGGGCACGTCCATCCCTGGGCAGGGCAGAGCTGTGTCCAGACCTGCCGTGTCTCCCGGGATCCCCAGCTGGGTGAGAGGGAGCTGAGCGGTGGCCGCTGGCTGAGCCCAGGGCGGGTCTGGGGGCACCTGGGTGCCTGTGCCACAGGTGGGAGGCAGGCAGGGAAGGCAGGGAATCCTGCTGCTCAGGCACGTCGGGATCAGAGGAATCGCTCAGGCTACACGTTTTCTGTTCTGGTGCTGGGGGGAATGTGGTAACAAAGCAATTGAACTGTCTCTTCAGGGAAACGTAGATTGTAAAAGCAGACTTAATTTTGTGCTTCACTTTGGTACCAAAGAGCTGATTTCTGAAACCATTTCCCAGCTCGCAACACATCTCTAGGCATTAAAATGTTGTGAATTTGCTTGTCATTACCAATATTTTCTTTGACTGAAGCTATTGAAACAAAGTGGTCTTTTTCTTTTTTTTTTTCTTTAACCTTCAATCTTGCTTCTAAAAGCAGTAGCTCTCGTTTTCTTTCTTTCTTGGTCAAATATAAAAATGATGATAATTTCAAATACTGCTTTAGAATAATTGCTTTCCTCCCTCTTTTGTATGACAACAGAAGCTTGGCCTGATCTTAAATCAGATGCTGGCAGGCAGAGGGCTCTTGACAGCCCTGCAAAATCCTTTAGTTACAAGTTGGCTTTCGCCAATTCTTTATTTGTAAATGACAATTTTCTACAGAAAAATATATGCTTGGGCTTCAATTTCGGAGCCCTAGATTGCAGCCAGGAAAAAATAATTGAATTTTTACACAGGTTTTTTTTTTCTCTTTCTTTTTCTTCCTAACTTGAAAAAGAGGGAAAAAAAATAAAGTGGACTTCTGTAAGGCTGATGGAAGGGAATATCTGGTTAATGAGAGTCATGCAGCATTTTTCCCTTCAGTCTCAGGAAGTTGGCTGCTTCACCCAGTTTCCAGAGCAAACAAATTTAAGCATTTCAATGCATGAATTTTATATTGGCGCGTTCGGTTTCCTGAGCTAACGTGCAGTGTTGACTCAGACACCTTTGTATGGTGGGTTGGCTGCTGCTGGGCTGTCTCCAGCTCTGAGGCCATGGTCTGATCCAAGCTGGGGTGTTTCCCCTCTGCCCAAGTGTGCCAGGATGATGGGGGCCCTTGGGAGCATTGCCCTGGATCTGCCCTGACTTCGGGGGGCCCACAAGGGTCAGGGGGTCTGGGATCAGCCCACCAAAGACACCAGCTTCCCCTGCCACGTTGGGGTTTGTGTCCATGGGCTGATCCTGCCCAGCTTGGAGGGCTGCAGGTTGTGGCTGATGGACTGTGGGATGGTGTGTTCTCCGTAGGGAATCCAGCACCATCCCTTTGCCCTGTGTGGACCAGGATCGGGTGCACGTGGGTCAGCAGAAGAGCTGGGTGCTCTGCTGGGGTCTGGGGAGCACAGGTGGATTTCTGCAGGAGCTGATCCAGCCCTGATGGGTGGTGACACCGTGAGCTGGAGTGTGGGTTGTGGCAGCTGGAGGATTCTGCATCGGCAGCTCTGGCTGCCTTTCATCATTTGATTATTTTTAAAGTAACTGTGCAAGTTCCTTTTAAACTGACCCATGGAAACTTAATAACACATCCCTTCGATTTGATGTAATTGCCTTTTGTCTGCCAAAGAGAATTCACCCTGTCTGTAGGAAGAGGAGGGGGAAAGGTGCGTTGCTTTTGAGACAGTAGCTATGAAGATATGGTACTTGGACTCCTTTTTCACTTATATTTGCATTGAGAAACACAATAAAAATCATTTATTAAAAAAAAATATCCGGGGGCTAGAGTTGTTATTGAGAGCCTTTACTCAGCCATCTCTCAAATAAAAACAAAACAAGACAAAGAGAAAGAAGTATCTAATCAAATCGAATCGAAATTGCTTTTGTAAAGAAATATTCTCATTATCTGGGTTAGGGATGGGATCTGAAGAATATTTCTTTTTTCCACATATTGTTTGAAATAATCTGGTTAAACCGTGTGCTTGTCTTATAATTTCTTACAGATGGTCACAAGAACAAAGAAAATATTTGTAGGTGGATTATCGGCTAATACGGTAGTGGAAGACGTGAAGCAATACTTCGAACAGTTTGGCAAGGTAAGTTCTGCCCAAGTGAGCACTACACGGTTCTTTCTTTCCTTTCTTTTTAAAGTGGGTTTCGAAAAAGAGCAGTCAGGGCTGGGCTCAGAGGAGGGCCACAGTTTTTGCCTTTCCGTGTCCTTTCTCGAAGCCTCTGGAATTCCTCTTCTGTTCATTGTGTGTGTTTGTGCACAGCATTGCCAGCACTGTTTACTTCCAGCGAAGTTAAAAAGGCATCATTGAGAGGTGGATCTGTGTCTGTTCAGGAAGAATTTGACCCTCAGCTGAATGATTATACAGCTGTCTTCTCCATAAAATCAGCCTTCTGTTTACCTTGATTGCAGTGGCAAAAGGGGCAGATAGATGTATGGGAGAGCTCATTAAGTTGTGAAAATGCCTGAAGGAACCACGTGAAAAGCAAAGAGTAATGTGGAAGTCACTGGAATATCCACTTAATTTCTTAGCGGAAAATCCTTATGCGAGATCCTGTGCAAATGCAAGTAGGATCCTGACATCATTAAAAAAACCCCAAACCAACCAAAAACCCAAACAAGTTTATTCACAGAAGGAGCCCTGAACCTTGCCAGAATAGTTTTTACTGTGATGTAACAAGTCAAACCCCACAGTCCAGGCTGGGGCTGGAGCTTAGTGCCCCTGACTTCCATGGAGTTCCCTGGGTACCCAAGGCTTTTGGACACTAGTTCAGGAGTCTGATGGGTGAAGAGCTTGCAGAGCTGCCTGCTCTGAGAGCAGTTGGTGGTGCCACCTTCCATGGGGACTCATGCCAGCCCTGCTGTCCGTGGGGCTCCATGGACTCCAGCTCCATGGGTTCCAGCTGAGCAGCTCGGTTCCTGTCCTCTGGAGTGCAGCCATCGATGGTTTAGATGCGAGATTGCGTGAGGACCCAGCAGGGTATCCCAGAGCAAAGCAGCTCCCATTCCTTGTAGTTAGTTTATGTTTCTTTTATCTGCCCTGAAAAGCCTGAGCCAGGCAGGATTTTGTCGAGGGCTGAGGAGGCGAGTTTATAAATGGTTCCTGTGCTGGATTGATAGTTGTTTTGCAAACCAGTCATTTTATTTTCAATAATAATCTTCGATTCCGGCAGGATGTTTACAGCCTGCTGAGCCTTTTATTAAAGGATTACATGAGCTTTTGGATGTTTCTTCTGTAGTTACTTCTAATTGCAGAACTCCACTAACCTGTATTTTTGAAGTTAATAATAGTTTCAATATAAGCGCTTTGCATATTGTCTGGATGTTGTCTTAATATAGTCTTTTTAATTTCACCATCTGGTAGTTTCATGCTTGCAATTTTACAGTCCCTGAGAATGCAGACAGCCAGGCTGTGTCTCAGGAGTGACTGGGGATTCGGGACGCTTCGGTTCTGCTTTTGTGCTCTGCCTTCCTTGAGACAGCTTAGCAGAGGTTTGCCTCTCCAGAGGCAATACTTTGGGAAAATCAAATATCTTTTTTCAGGTGTCTTAATTTGCAGGCTAAAAAAATTAAGGAGCTGAAAATTGCGTGAGTTGGGATCAAGGCAGGGACCCATTCCAGTGACAGCACAGCTGGGATGTCCTGCTGAGGCTGTGTGGCCCAGGCAGTAGAGCTCAGCTCCTGCAGGGCTTGGTCCCTGTTACTCCAGGTGACTTTTTCCGGGTGCATCCCTGTTTGACACTTCCCTGTTGCAACTCGTGAAGAGTTTGGTGCAGCTGGTGGTGCTGGGAGCAGAGGTGCTGGGCTGTGTCACCCTCCCTGGACCTTGGTGTGGGCGTTGGGGTTCTCCCCACGGCGCCGTGCTCTTTGGCAGCTGGGACAGTCTGGTTTCGGGGTGTTTTGAGGTGATCCTCCCCGAGGCTCAGGTTGTCAGGAGATGCTGGTTAATGACCCTTGGAAATGGGAACTTGTGCTCCAACTCAGTTAGAAGACTCGTTAATGTGCTGTGGATGGTGGGATGCTGCATTCAGATACAGTGACCCAGGACTGGCCCTGTGGGACCTTCAGGAGCCCTGTCCTTCTCCACCCCGCTCCTCTGCTGCTCCGCGACTCCCTTGCTCAGCTCTCCAGCCCTTTGGGCAGGGCCTGTGCCCTGCTCGGAGCTCCAGTCAGGCCATTGCCATGCAAACAGTGATCCCCATCGATAGGTGAGCTCTGCCTTTGCTCAGAGCTTTCTTGAAATAAAGCAAATTGCATGACATGATTAACGTGCGAGGAGCCGCCCGTGTTTGATAAGAGCATCTCAGGTGAGTTGCTCTTTGAAATGCTGAGCTTATTTATCGGCCTGGAAAAAATTGCTTACTGTGATTCCTGAAATCCTGTTTGTACTTGCTGTGGAGAGGAGCTTGGCAGCCAAGGGAGGCTGTTTTGGTAACTGGAGGTAGCTCTCTCCAAACACACAATGTGAGCAGAGCAGCCCCCAGCTCTGGGGCCAGGCGGGCTCGCTCGTGTAACTGGAGTTGGCAGGGAAGGGATAAAGTGTTGAATTTGAAACTGCAGCTTTTTGAAAAGTCAATGCCAGAGCCTTTGTCTCCAAGAAAAAGAAAAGCTTTAGTGAACACTCTTCCTGACTTCAGTGAAAGTGCCGGACGTTACAGCACCAAAGTACGTGGTAACAATAATGCTGAGACTTGGACAGTGAGATTTCTCATAGTGATTATTTTTCTTTCTGTAAAGCCCAGGATCTGTAGGATCCTTTTGGGAAGGTTGGCATTCCTAGCTGCTGTAATCTGTGGAGGAAAACAGGGAAAAATTACCTGAGTGAAACCAAAAGGCTTCACAGAGTGAGCACAGAGCAGTGTAGTGAACAGCTTTGTGATTGCTTAGAGCTGGTGAGGCTGAACTTGTGCACCTGCAGTTGCTGGGGGGCTCCCCAGAGAGGCTTAGTGGGGTCTTTGTGCCAGGAAGGGGGTCAGGGTGCTGCAGAAGGGAAGACTTGTCCTTCCAGTGGTTTCAGGGAACAGGATCCACAGAGGACACAAGGAGGCTAAGCCATTATGTTTACAATCAGAAGAAAAACAAGCCATTGTGTTAATCCCTGATCCTGACAGTCTAATGCAGTTGTTTGTGGGATCCTCTGCTGTTTCAGTCAGAGATGTTTAAAACATTCTTACAAGCAAAATAAATTCACTGGCCATGTTGACCTGTCTAGGCTCTGTAGCATCACCCTTGTACTGGGTGGGAAAAGCTGCTGACCAGGCTTTGAAAGAATTTAAATGAGAAGTGTTAGAGGTGAGGAGATCCAAGGGGAAACTCTGCAGGGCTCGCATTCCTCCCCTGAGGGGCCACAGTGCTGCCCTGAGCCATCAGCAGGACTGGGGCTGCGGGTCTGCCTGGTTTGTGGCTTTCTGGGAGCGTAAGCAGTGTGGAGCTCTGAGTTTGGGACACGTTGGAGCATTTAAGACTTCAGGTATCATTTAAAAAAAGAAAGCACCCCACAGCCTCCTCAAGCCTTACCCAGAGGACTGTGACCAGCAGGAGAAAGCCCTGAGTGCTAATGAGCTGCACTTCTCAGGACCTCGTGTTCTGTACCTTCCGAGCTGCAGGCACTGATGAGGAGGGTTTGGAGGGTTCGTTTTCCCAGGTGCTGCTCCCTTCACAGAGCTCCTGTGAAAGCAGCACAGTCCTTCGTTTGCTACTTGCAATTATACTTCACATGGCGAACTGTGTAATTAGTTTGGAAGACTTATGCCTAGTCATTGGTTTATCCTAATCGGCTTTGGCTTTTCCCAACAACAAAGTGAGCTTATTTTCCTAAGCTGAAACAACTCTGCTCCCTTTGTTCCTCTCTTTTATTGTCTCATTCCTTTCATTCTGTTTTACTGCCAAAGTTTTGTTTCATTAGGCCTACAAGTCATTTCCAATCCAGTGGGCTGCTACAATAAGGCCTTTATAACTCAGCTGCCCTGGTTCCCATGTCCCTTCTGGTCCAGAGCCAGGACTTGCTGTTTGACATGGGATTTTAACCCTTTGGCTGCCCTAGCTGCTGGTCCCCCCTCGGTGGGGCTGAGCCAGGCTGGAGATGGGGCTGGCAGGGACCCCTGATGAGCTCATGGATCCTAATGATTGCGTGAGGCCGTTAATTGACATGTTAATGTGCTCGGGCTCCAGGTAACGCTTTTGGGCCCAATTATTGAAACAGAATTCTGATTAAAAATCTTCTTACTGTAATGAGTCACTGTGGGAACAGTCTTTGGAATGAAAAGGCCACTGTGTCCTTCCAGCATGGTGGGAACAGTTCTGGTAAAGGTACATTTCAGTTGTCCCGAGCTCTTGGATCAGCCCATGTAGAAAAATCATGTTTTCTTGTGTGGGAGAGAACGCATTTAAATTTATCCTTTTTTGAACCAGAATGGTGATTTTTGAAGGAGATGTGTGAAATAGTTTTGTGGACAAACAATGCTTTTACAAATTGTTATTTCAGACTGCTGGAAGAGCAGTTGGTGGCCCCAGATGTTTTACTGCTTCTAAAACTCTCGGCTTGGGATCATTAGGCTTTTCATTTTTCCTTTCACAGGAATCCTAAAGTGACTTTTGGGGAAGGGGGCTGTGGCACTTGTTTTTTGTTTTAAATTTCCAGATGAAGTTGAACCAGCAATATGCATTAAATTTATTTTCTGTCCTGGCTTGCCACAAGGTCCCTCAGACTGATCGTAGGCATGTTCCAGCTCCACTTGGAATATGTTGTTTCCTCAAGAATAGCTTTTAAGATTTGGAAATTTTGAGACAAGACAGGATTTCTGAATTACCTCTCTGGATCTGAAACATTTTGTACAGTCACTTGTTATTTCCTGTGAGATGCAGAACAGACCAGTGGAATAATAAAAACTGGATTCTGAGGTTGGTTTTTTTCGGTGAAACTGTTGAGCTTTTGAAAACGTGTAATTTTCTCGTCTCTTCCTCCTGTGGCCTGACTTAGTGACTAGAGGCAGTTAAGCAAGTGAGAGGAGGTACCTTCTCACACCTGTCCTGGCTCCAGGCACACCTCCACAGATCCATGGTGCTGCCTCACAAAGGAACTAAAGC